TGGCTGCTTGGCGGCTTGTCTGATCGGGAAAATAAACAAAGAAGAAGAGAGATAAAGGCTGGGGAGTCACAAGGTGGTGGCGGATGCTAAAGGATTAGGTTTAGGGTTCCGCTTGGGTGATGCTTCCATACACGGGAGGAATGACGGGTCTTAACGCGTGTTCTTCTTTCAAACTTTTAATCATTTTAACAAGTTCAGTCCCCCTCACCAAATTCATTTCAATTTAAACCCAAAACTTACACTATAGCCCCTGCCTCCATAAAATATTTTCAACTTAAGCCACAATAATTTACCAAGCAGTTCGTGCCTTCATAAATATTTACAAACCACTGCGCGATTTTCTCTTTTAACCCCCAACCTCTAAAATTGTAACAATTAACCCTCGAGACCAATAATTTGCTATATTATTAATGATTTTAGGGCTACTATTATTCGTGAATTTATCTATTTATTTATTTAATAAATAGGACGTTACAACTCTCCCCCACTTAAATTAGATTTCGTCCTCGAAATCATTCATTACCATTCCTTACATACCAAACCACTCAAATAGCATGGCCTCAATTCTGGGCACACCCTAGCCTTCCCTAGGGTAATCATGGTCAACCTTCGCAAGGCACTAAAATTTATAGATGAGCAAGTTCCTTGCAGCAAGATCGCATCTACTCCGTCTAAAATCTGTAGCCTCGAGGTTCATACTAGAAAACAGAATCACTGACCCAATTATCCTTGCATATCACTTATACTTGGCCAATGCTCAGATAATACCGTTGTGAGTGTCTTAGCATAACCCAAGCAATTTGCTACCCATCCATACCTAAAATTCTAAAACACCAATACTAATACTGCCAAAACACTAAAACTGCCCGAAACGACATGTTGCCACATAGCTGCATTCCAAAATCTACCGAGGCCTTCCTGGTCCCAATTCTTTCACCATTCATCTGAAATATTTTGGTTCCGACCTGGTTACAGAGCCAAAAGACTCCCACACGGTTGTTTCACATGAATTTCGAACGAAAGCCTTGTCTGTCAACAGTTTACACTAGTTATATTGCTACTATAGCTCTAGCGACCTTCTAATCCAACTGATTGGTTCTATACGTCAAGTCCTGACATTACCAAATCCAAGACTAAAGTGATTGCTACATGACCAAGGGTAGCCTTATATCACAAACGACCTTAAACGGTCCATTGCTTCCTTGATCCCCTGAATGTGACGATGTACCTACAGTCTTATCATGAGCTCAAACTGGTCTAATCCATCTCAGGAAATCTGTAAACCAATCTATGGATTTGCCATGCCCTCACTGTTGCACCCGAAATGGTGGGCACCACTATTCCTTCTGTGATCTAACAACACTCCCATGCTATCTACTAACCTAGTGAGTGCTACAACTACTCCCGCAGACTTACAATACTCTACAATTATCTACCAACCTTGTGAATGCTATAGCTACACCCACAGAATTACAACACTCTAGCACTATCTGGCTGCTAGTGATTGCTATGGCTACACTCGCAGACTTACAACACTCTAACACTATCTGGCTGCTAGTGAATGTTACGGCTACACCTACAAACATACAACACCTTCTCACTATCTGGCTGCTAGTGAATGCTACGGCTACACCCGTAGACTTGCAAAACTTTCTCACACTATCTGGCTGCTAGTGAATGCTACGGCTACACCCATAGACTTACAACACTTTCTCACATTATCTGGTTGCTAGTGAATGCTACGGCTACGCTCGTAGACTTACAACACTTTCTCACACTGTTTAGCTGCTGATTACTAATCTAAACACATCCAACATCGAGCATACACATGAACTACCATCCCAAACTGAACTCATGTACTGACTGGAATCCCCAACCTAATTCCCTGAGGCCTGCTATCATGTGACCCCGCTACATCAGTACCGCACCCATACCCATGATCGAAGTATCGCAATAATCCATAAAATCATCTACACCCTCTGGCAGGGTGAGAACTGGTGCCTCAGCCAACTGCTGTCTGAGAGTCTCAAAGGTTGCCTGCTGCTCAGGACCCAAGCGAAAGGCCACTGACTTCTTCGTCAGTCGGGTTAAAGGAACTGAAAATCTTAGAGAAGTCGTGAATAAATCTTCAGTAATAATCCGCTAGACCCACGAAACTCTAAATCTCAGTTGGAGACCTCGGAATCTCCCACTGCATCACGACCTCTATCTAGGCCGGATCGACTAGTATACCTTTCTGGTTGACAAGGTGACCAAGAAATTGCACCTCGCGCAACCAGAACTCACATTTTGAGAACCTTGCAAAATGTCTCTCCCTTCTCAGAGTCTCTAGCACCTCCCTCAGGTGCTACTCGTGTTGCTCCTTAGTCTTGGAATAAACCAAGATGACGCTATACTCTCCTAATCCCGCAAGTGATGCACCGAATATGTCCCTACAAGCCTCTCAAAAGTTGATCTGAAATCTTGGGTCTCCTCCCTAGACGCTTTAATATAAGCAACTGATCTGGTTCCCTCTTCCCAATCTACTCCAAGTCAATACATCATTCTCGTGCTCTAGAAGTCATATCATTGAGGGTCTCGCACTGCGAGATACTCACGATCTCCCCGCTATCATTATGAGTATGTCTTGATACCTTACCTTTTTCGTTTCCTCATATGTTGCATACTACGGTACCAAGTAAGTTCTCTCCCGAGACTTGGTAGTGATCCCTGCCAGAGTCTCAGTTGTCTGTTGGAGATCCAACAAGTCTTGCGCCAACTGTTGCGCTGGTCGAAAAGGCATCCCATGAAATAGCATCAACCATTTCATCACTCAACTCACTACTAACCTCTTCCTATCAATCGTGTGCTCTGTCCCTTAGGAGACAGGAAGTAAGCTGGATCATATCTCCTTTCGAGACAACGATTGGTACAAAAAAGTGTTGATGACATCTGTCAACCATCTGCTGCTAACAATGGGGTCCCTAACCCCATGACAATCTGGAGCTTCACAATCTCTTAATACCCAAAACATCAACATATGCATCCTTATCATGACTGCTATCTCAGTGCAGAATGCACTCAACCTCTCATTACAAATCTCTAAAATTCTCTCCTTGATCATACCGAAGATCACATGAATCTGATAAGTGATACTGTACGTACTCTCAGATGGAATGAACTCCCTCACCTGATCATCGAACTACCCGACTTTGGAGTCCAAGCCTGATCCCTCATCAACACCAGAACTACCATCTGGTCTACCACGTAACGTCACTATACTCAGAAATATACCATCCCAATCACCATAATACTCGTCAAAACTCGAGGGAACTCACACACTACAAGTTCCCTAGTCTTATCTCATCATTCTTTGATTCGAGTACAGATCATCTGCTTTCAGTAGTACGGGCGCATACTACCTTCCACATCTATCCGTACTTCCCTCAAGAACTGCTTTGACTCCACCAAGTCCGTTCTACTGCTAGCTCTCATCCTAGGCTTGCCCTAGGGTAATCACCATCCTACTCTCCGCCATCAGCTGCATAAGAAGTCACTACTATCTTCCCCTAACTAGCTCGCAAATACTATTACATATCACTAACACTAGATAAATCTTCGAATGAGAGGTTCTACCCTACAACGGTTTGACTCAAACGAGAGTTACGAAATAAGGTTAAACCTAACCTTCTGAAATTATTTACTCATTTTAATATGTAACTTAACATATTCATTTGGTCGATGTCGTTCTTAATGTGAAATATTGGACAAACAAAGTGAAATTTATGTGTAGATCGATTCCTAGAACATTACATTGGTTTGGCTTTCGACTTTGTTGGATTGATATCTTGAGAGTGCGTGTATATATATATATATATATATATATATATATATATATATATATATATATATATATATATATATATATATATATATATATATATATATATATATATATATATATATATATATATATATATGGGTGGATGGTTCAATAGAAAATACATAACTAGGACAACACATATGGAACCAATAAAAATATGGCAAAACATTACTCTTTGTATAGTTTATTTTTACTGGTTTCTTAAAGGATAAATTACGAGAATCGTCCTTGTGATTTGATGTAGTATGTATGGATGGTCCCTAACTTTTTTTTTTTTTTTTTTTTTTAACTCGGTCAATCCTTGCATTTTGGTTTCGTTTCAATATTAGCAACAAGAACTAATATCATCTTTTCTGTATCATTTTCAGATCAAACTCGGAAATTTTCAAACAAATTTATTATAATCTTTAACTATTCTTCATTAATTTCTTCAAACTTTCATCATTTAACCACTGTTAATTCTTGTATAATCATCTTCTAATTTTTGAATCAATCCAATCAAAGAACCAAAATCCTACTATTCTTCATTAAGTTTTCAAACTTTCATCATTTAACCATCATTAACTATTGTTATTGTAAATTATTTTTAAGTTATTTATTTGAAAATTTTTAAAGATTAAAAAAATAGTTTCATGATTTTTTTAATATAGGATTACAATTTAGGTTTAAGACTATAATTTATAATTTTTACCTATTCATAAAATAATTTTTTGATTTTTTTTTTCAAGTTTAACTGAAATTTTGATTTAAATTAAACGTTTAACATTATATTGAAATTTAACATTATATTGAAATTGATAGTTTAATTTTTGAACATAAAAATAAAAATTTTACAAAAATTATGACTTTACATTGACAATTGCCCACGTATGACAAATATTTAAAGTAAAAAGTTAATGTTGTAATTTTATAAATATAAGTAAAATATAATATTTTAATATTGTAGTTTAATTAATTATGATTAGAACTTAGTTTCTATATATTAATTTAATATTATTAATGGATTTACAATAATTATGAGAAAGAAACTTAAAAATGATGGAAGGTTTCAAATGTGTAAATAAAAATAACTCTTACCGTAATATACTTTTTTGTTGTAATATACTTTTTTGTTGTAATGATCACATGACCTAAAATAGCCGATTTGAATAGCAAATATATGATATAATACATGTGTGGCAAAGCTAAAACAAATACAACAATGCACTCTTTCAGGTGTTTTTGTTACAACTAGACATACAAATATCCATATATAGGCATATGATGTAGACAATAAATGACTAGACTTTGGGCAAAAAACAATACGATGATACGAAATTATTAATAAAAAGTAGAGAATCGTTAGTTAGGACTTAGGATTAAAGATCCGGAGACTAGAAACCAAATACGGTCTTGAGACTAAAAACCACATACTACAAAACACAATTACATTAAGAAAAAAAAAAGTACCTCTGATAAAACCCTAAAGCAAAAGAAAATTAATATCGGGAAGTTTTAATTATGACAAGGTCTTAGTTTACGCTTTCATCTTTCAAGATAGGCAAAGTCAATACCCGAACCCATAACCCTTGAAGGATGTTGATGATCACCATGCTTTCTTGTATCCGTTACTTCAGATTGACAGAGTCACCACCACACTTCAATGGGTCGTTTTTAGGTGCGTTCTTGACTTCTTCCATTTTGTTCAAAAGATGAAAGAGTGAACACCGCCTGTCTACATCTTCATCTCCACTTCCCTTAAACACTCTCTGCAATGCCCACAATCAACGCTTAATACAATTAAAAATATAGGAATAAGTAAAGTAACAACCTTCAAACGATCAAAGATGACGATTGTACCTTAAAAAAAACCCCATGAATGTCTTCATGGAGACGCTACTGCAACTTTGATCCTTTCGACTGTGCATTTGATAAGACTATTAACTGTTGCCACCGATCCAAGCGATAATTTGGCTGTAGGAACCGAATCTACCAAAATCTGAAATGCCACCGTTAGTAATGATCCACCAGTACCTAACTCAGGAATTCCTCCTTGATCTTGTCCAGGTCCATCAGGAAGTATAGCAAAACCAGAAGGTAACAAAGCAACGTAATCTGGATCACCTCCACTTAATACCACGTTCATCGCTACAATATCTACTGGAGCATAGATAACATAAGATCCCGTAGAATCACTTGAACTCTCTTGTAATATGAGCATGTTGCTTTGGCTTGAATTTGCACTCTACAATATTTACATCTCAAATGTCACGTCAATGAACTTATTAGATTACTACATATATAGTTTTCTATAAACCTACGTTTCATGATGAGGATTAAACTTACATTAACACGTAGAAGGGAAACACAGTTTCCTGGATCACGACCATTGGCAATGTGTGCCATTTCTTGAACTAATCCATCATTTGAAAGAATGTCCCACTGGTTATAACACAGATCATAGAGTAATTAACGATTTAACGCCATAAAAGTCTCTAAAATTGGCTTTCAAGAGTACTTACCTCGCTCCTAGAGTTCTCATCCCTTAGAAAATCAAAAACCCGTTTTGGTTGAACCGGTATCCAGAAGGAAGTTGCAGCACTCAGCACAATACCTGGAGGTCTTCCCGGGTCGTCCATACTCTTCCGGGTCATAACCCGGACATCATCAGCCCCACTACCTGACAGAGTTGTCCATGTGTGTGCAGTTGAAGCTCCAACACCGCTGCAAAAGCTTAAAACCATTCTCTCAGCCAGCTTCAGCATACTCTTTCTCCCTTCTGGAGTGGTTATCACTGTCAAATGAAACAAATCCAATCATTGAAGATTGAAGAATCACATATTTTGTGAGACCCAATCATCTAAATTTTGTTAAGAAAAAAACCAAATTTATTAATTTGTGAGATTAGTGCTAACCTCCGACATCTCCTGCAGGAATGTTGTTAGCCATTGCGCTTGCAAGACGCTCGCATTGCCTATCCAAAGTTGCTACCCATCTTTTTGCACCAAATGCAAGGCCGGTGTTCACAAGCAACCTATAGATACTGTGAACAGCTCTGTCGTCGACTTCAACATGTTCAACCCAAGTGACCTATGAATAAAAAACAAATACGTGTTGATAACCTATATATAGATTTTCATTTTGTAGTGAGGTTTCTCCTTTAGTAAATCTTTCGAATCTTTTAATATTGTGTAGAATTTTTACGTACCTTTGAGTACCCATTGGGAAGTTCTTGAATCAAGCAACCTGAAGGCCTTCTTCTACATCTTGAAATTGATGAAGTCCGCAAGTTGTCTAAAGATACATCGACTACAGCCCAAGTGCCATCGGCGTGTTGTTTGCAGTACCTCACAAAGTAGTTTTCTCGGGTTGGAACAAGGGGTGAAGGAACCTGATACTCCGCTGTCATCTGATAAATTAAACATAGAGACTTTAATTAGTATATACAAAGATAAGTAAGTAGATTTAGGGGATAGAATGAAATGAAAAAGAAATCGAATGGAAATGGTAATGTAATAGAATGAGTGAACCATGTTTGAAATATGTATTTTCCTATGATTTTTTGTTATGCGTACAAATATAATGTTTTACCAAGTCATACATTATTTTAAATGTAATAATGAATTATTTTATTTCAAGAATGTAAAATCAAACATAGCAAATGCTTATTAAATTAATAGAAATGCCTGGTTTTTTTTTTCTACAGTTTAACCACCAAAAGATATTTTTTTTAGCAATGTGAGTCGGTTTTTGTTTGTTTAAATGAGAACCAATTTATAAAATTTTGAATTTTATAAAAACCACTATTAGCTGGAAGGTTTTAGACTAATTAACCTTTCAAAAAATTTTAAATTTAACCATTTTCAACCTTAAAAATACTTTTCCGTGTTTTTTTTTTTTTGCAACCATTAATGGAATAAAACTTACTGTTTCATTCTTAAAAAGAAAAAAAAATCACTCAGTGTGTAAACTAGATATAAATTCTTTATATGGTTAAACACTAAATAAATAACAAAATCCAAACAGGGTCATTTTCATGAAATTTGGCCTTCAATTAAATCCAAATAAGATTATAATAAAACAAATATTTTATATTTTAAAAAAATTGCAATATATGTAAAATAGTGAAACTAAAAAAGATTTGCTTCGTATAGTAATTCATATACAGATAAATAAATAAAAAAAAAAAACTTATATTGCACTTTTTTGCCTACCAATATGGAAAATTACCCTTTAGAATACAAGAAATCATTTCTCTTTTAAATGGTATATATTTATACTCCATTACCAAATAAACAAGTTTTTATTCCAATTAAATGAACCATAAATTTTACGATTTGAAACCAAACTTGCTTACCACTTGGAGAGCTCCATTGTAATTGCCAGCAACTCCAGTTGACAGCACTTCGAGGGTCATTGCTCTTGAAACGATGCCAGAAAATACATTCGACCACTGATTCTGGAAAAAAAAAAAAAAAAAAAAATCGTGCAAGGCTAAGAGTGAGATCATAATCAATTAACATTTCAAACTTAAAAACTATGTATTTTCATCAAATCAGTTGTACGTACCACATCCATTAGAATTTCAACAAGAGTGATATGATTCATGATGACAACCGCAGATTCCCTTGAAGCCTCGGACTTCAATCCCAATGGTTTCGGACCAATCCCTCGGGGAAATGTCCTCAAGTACTCGTCTTCACTCAAAGTCTCGGATGAGTTATCCGAGCTCGGAACCCACAAAGGTTCACCCGCATGAGCCATTCTTATTAGCTCCTCCATCGCTGCAACCGCTAATTCGATTATGATTGGTTTGTCAGCTTCAGTTGGGCCTGAAACTGATCGAAGAAGCTCATTCGCACCAAACATATCTCCAACCATAGTCTGTTGTGGGCTAAAGCTAGACACCCCAAGGTCAAGTGAGCGACTTGATCCATGAGGCGACATATTTGGGTAACTCAACATTGGTTTGCCAACATATTTTGCAGCTATTCCCGATATCCTATCAATCTTTAGGGAAAAATTAATAAACCAAATTAGTTGATTACTCAAGCTATCTTTGAATTAACTATCTTAATACAAACATGGTGAAATTTCATATACCTCTTCACGTAGCCGAGCATTTTCTATCCTCAAATGTTGTTCGTCAAAAGACATCTCCCCGATAGCAGCAGGACCTCCACAGTTTGGACAAGTAGCATTCGCAAGGGCTTCTTTGTAGCGTATGTTTTCAGATCGTAGCTTTTCATTTTCATTCCTCAACTGGGTGTTCTCATGTCGTTCGTGTTGAGCCTAAATCAAGAAGAAACAACTTTGGTATCAAGCTAAGTTTAGTATGTTAGAAAAGTTGCATAAATTAACTTGAAGCTGATATTTCTTGATTACTATATGCTATATTTTGGTAATAATAGCTGTAAAATGTAATTTAGTGATCACCTTCATTTGAGTGCGTTTATTTTGGAACCAAAACTTGACTTGCAAAGGCTCCAAGGTTAATCTTCTGCCAAGTTCCTTTCTTTGCTTATCATCTGGATGTGGGCATTCTTTGAAAAACCTACACAAAAGTGTGAAGAGATCAATCAATCAATTCCAACTTCAAATCGTAAAACACCCAGGAAGGTGTTCCTGTATGTTTTACGACTCTAAATCTTGATTTACCCATATAAAAAGATAAGAATTTATCTGTTAGGGTTGATTAGCAAAGAACATACGATTCCATTTCTTGGATTTGATGTTGAGTGTGACGATGGTAACGTTTCTTTTTGTTGGGTCGTTGATTAGGATCTTGTTCATCGCCGGAGTGAGCTTCCATGATATCAGTGCCTGATTTGCTCTCATAATCATCATCTCTTAACATGTCGAGTTCATTTTCTTGGGCTTTATGGCTCATATCAAGAATATGATGATGACTCTCAAACATGTTCGGCTGAAACATCTTTCTATTCACCTCTCACCTCTTTCTAAGGGGTTTTACTTGAAGTATCGTATACAAATCTACAAACAGTAAACTACAAGTTACGAAATGGTCATTAGATATTAATATTTTAAAGAAATTCAAGCAAAAAAAAAACGGTGAGATCAAGAGAACATAAGAAATGGAATTGGACCATGGAAATTTGCATAAACAACCAAGGGACTCGAATGAATTTATTCGGGGTTAACAGATCTATGGTTTTCTGTGAGAAAAAAGTCAACTTCAAAAGCAAGAAAAGTTGAATATCATTCTCTCTCTCTCTCTCTCTCTCTCGAAAATACTTTTTAATTTATCGAAAAGGATTATGGTTGAAAATAACAGAAAGAATTAAAGAAGTTATGTCAACTAAGCTCATCAGCAGATCTCCAGATTACTTCACTGTTCGTTTTACAAATTAAATAAAAAAATAAAACTAGAAGTTACCATGAGGCTATGAGCAACAAATTAATGGATGAAACCAAGATTGTATGAAGAAGATGAAGAAAAAGAAGAAAGAAAAAAAACTGAAATTTGTCACACTACACAAACCTTATCACGGAGAGAAGTTTAAAACCCAATCAAAACCAAACCATTGTTATTGATCGTTCTTAACATTACAGAAAAAATAATATAGACATGATCCGACAAAAATTATATGTTTCTGAACATTCACAAACCCTAGCCAAAAAATTCTCTCTCTAGAAAGAGAGTTTCTTTTCGTTTCGAGTTATCTTTTTGGTAAATTAACTGAGTGAATGACTTAATATGAAGAGTAAAAAAGGACTAGAACGGACAAATACAAACAGTTTTTGGACTTTTTAGCAAATAAAGACAATGTCAAAGCTCCAATCCATCTTTCTTCCTTTTACGTATTCCATCCAAAGACCCAATTAGAGAAAATCTAGCCCAAAAAACCTTCATTTCACATACTGATTTCTCCATAACATCAAACGTTAAGTAACGGAAAAAGTGAGAGAAAAAAGGAAGTGTTTGTGTGCGGAGTCGAAAAGACATCAATAACATCAAGTCAAGAAAGGTGGTATATATATTTATACGCAACAAACTTACTGGCTTTTTTATCTTGCTTTTGTAGAGTACTCCAGTGTAAAAGAGTGTAAAGGGTCAACGGAAAACCACTTTTGACAGGGTAAAAGAGTGGTTTTCAGACGAGGGTTTGATTGATGATATACCTTTCTCGTGAATAGAATTTAAGGAGAGAGAGAGAGAGAGAGAGAGAGAGAGAGAGAGAGAGAGAGAGAGAGAGAGAGAGAGAGAGGAGATTATGAAGCCAGAGAGAGAGAGAGAGAGAGAGAGAGAGAGGAAAGGAACAGGTGGGAGAATTGAAGAAGTTGCAACCAGAGAAAGAGGAGTTAATGCCGAGCGTATTGAGAGGATGCAATTGCATTTATGGACGATTCAAGTTTTTATTGCTTTCTATAGAGAGAGAGTGAGAGAGAGAAAGAGTTTTAATGCGATCCTTATGTTCAAACTCTCCATCACACACACACTAGCTCTGAATAAATTTGTAGTGAAATATGAAATTATCGATTTTACGATTTTATGTTTAACTACAGATTTCAATTCCCTGTGTATTGAAGTTAATTCTCAAACCAACTCCATTCCATCTCCCGCTTGTGCTTTTATTAATTTTGCATGGGTACCTTAATGTGTATATTTGTATCGCTTAATTAGTTAAAATATTAACAAATACATATCATTAAAAAAAAAATAATCTAATTATTTAGTTTAAATTAGCCAATAACCTTCTAGGATATTAGGGTTTCTAAAAACCTTATTGATAAATAGAATATCAAGAGCTCGGTCGGCCATCAACCACTAGTTGCAGGCCGGTCGAAATGTTTTCTTGCAAAACCAGATTTTAACTCAATGGAGTGAGTAAGAAACCTCATAAAGGTGACAAAAATTAAGATTTTTTCAAATTAATTTAGCACCTCAAATTGCATGTCGCTAAGCTCACATAGAATCATATGGGATATCATCTTAGTGACATGCAATTTGGGTCAAGATTATATATATAAACCTCAAAACCTAGAAACAACTTGCATTTTTTAGTTTGAAGAAATCCTCTTTACTCTCTGCAATGGCTTCACGAAAAGTCAAAAAGTTTGTAAGTTATCTACTTGTTTTATGTTTTGTATTCATGTTTAATTTATTTAGGATGTGTTTATATATAGTTTTAGAAAAATAATGTAAATTTCAGAACACCGAGATGGCATCCCAATTAATAGTATGAAATCGCAGGTGAATTTTTTATTTTTTGGAATTAGTCCATCACCTTTTTCATGGTTAATTGTGTTGTAGCCGTCCAGCTGTCACGTAAAGTTTGTATTTGGTGTGACATTACGGTTTGAAACGGAGGGTTACAGGATATGGTGAAAAACTTTCAAGGCAATTCGAAGCTTATCAAAGCCTTTAATGCAGGGCTTGCTATGACGCGAATTTGAACTTTACGAATAAGCTTGTTTTTCATCACGTTAAGCCTAAACAAAGTGTAATCTTTGACTCATTGGTTCACTTTTTATTTTTTGTTATTGTCAATAGGACGAAGTCTTGTAATTTTTCATGGGCTAAGTGGTTCATTACCCTTTATATTGGAAGAAACAATATGAAGGGTAATGAACAATGTAGTCCACCAAAAATTACAAGACTTCATCCTATTGATAATAACAAAAAATAAAAAATGCACCACCAAGTCAAAGATTACACTTTGCTTAGGCTTAATGTGATAAAAAAACAAGCTTATTCGTGAAACATCATAAATGAACGAAATAAAAAAATTTACATCGTCAAGCTGGAGAATATAAAATGTCGTATATATGGACTGGAGGAGTTTTCTTTGATAACAATATTTCATTTCAGAGACATGTCATTCTCTAGTTAATCCTATGCGATCAATATTCAATATAAACATTCACACGAGCCACCACCACTTACAAGTCATGAGATTTGAATCTGGATGCTAGAGAAATTGTTTAGAAAGCAACTATCTCCCAGGCTGAAGGCTATAAAACAACCTATACTTCACGACATAAGTATCGACAAATTTTGGTAAAACATTGAATTTAGTAAGGAACATGTAAATATTTTCCTAAATTGATTTATTAGGATATAATTTATGAGTATGAAATTATGATTTTAATGTAAAATTTTAATTTTAGGGTTATGATAATTAACCACCACTCAATGGAGTGAATAAATTTTTTTTAATGTTGTTTTACCACACCAAAATTAGACGAGAGGGTTACATAACGAGTGGTTACTTGAGTTAGGGTTAGGTGGTTAGATGATGTCAAGGCTAAAATCAAGTCATCATGTATGTCAATTTTGGATATAACATCATAAATGGTTCGTGTGGTTTCCACAGATGTAAATTTTAGTCTCCGTGGTTTAAAAACACCAAAGATGGTCCTTGTGTTTTCAAAACTTCTGATGATTGGTCCTTATTACTAATTCTGTTATATTTTTCCCGTTAACTGAAGGGTATTTTCATCATTTCACTACCACATGGACCATTTATGATGTTTTCTCTTATTTTAAAAAATGAGAAAAAAGTGAAATAATATACAAAGCGGTCTGTCTCTCTCTCAATTAGTTCCATCCTTGTACATGCTTCAAAATGAAGCGACTAGATTTACAGATTAAGTCAGCTTTCCAAGCTCTATATTATAGCGAAAAGCAACCGAAATAAACTACTAAGGTATGGATGAATCGTTGTCCATTTATTCATAATAAATTATCAGATGAGCTATGCACATAAAGTGTTTAGTGAAATAACAAAACCAAAACATTTCTCTATTGCAATCACCTACAAACCAAAGATGAATCGGTTATGTCTTCGGTTCTCTTACTGATTTCAGGAAAACCTCAGAGGTTAAATCCATTAGAGCCCCATCATCTTCTAGTCTGAGTACCGGTTATTACCATCATCTTGTTCATTTGAGTCTTGGAGGCCCAAATCGGTGTATCTGGTGAAGGGATTTAGCAAATAGGGTTCCTCATTTGTTTCCAACTATTTTCCATGGAAATTGAAGCTATGACGATAAGCTAGCCAACGAAAGAATGAAGAAGCAGACCCAAACGAAGATGTCTTCTCCAAATTAGGTACCAAATGAAATTTATGACTGTAATTTACACACATGGACCTTGATTAAAGGAAATACGAGGAACCTTGACAGTAATGATCTATCTAAGATAGGAAAATGGTTAATTACGATTGAACGGGTGGAATTAGGGAAAGCAAACATGCAGACAACGTAAGAGAGGAAATGGGTTAACAACGCTTGTAGTTCTTTTGGTTCTGAACATATGATGACATCAATTGGGATTGAGTAGTAGATAGACAATTTGAACAGTTCGGGAAGTTAATTCTTGGATTATCTTGTGTGTTTTTATTTTTCAATGTGTCTGTTACTTTATTTTTAGAGTACGTATGAGGTATGTGTGTTTGACTTGTAGTCACCGATCTCCGGTTATTTGTTATATCTTTTTAAGTGTATATGTATATGTGAGGTGTTTATGGTCTGAGTTAAAGGAAAAATATAAGAGAGAGAGAGAGAGAGAGAGAGAGAGAGAGAGAGAAATAGATAGATAGATAGAGGGGGGGCCCATTTGCATATTATTTCACTTTTTTTTTTAACTAAAAAGAAACATCATAAATGGTACATGTGGTAGTGAAATGACAAAAATATCATTCAGTTAACGGACAAAACTTGACGTAGTTAGTAATAATGACTAATCGTCAAAAGTTTTGAAAGCACATAAACCATTTATAATGTTTTTAGACCACGGTAAGTAAACTTCAGATCTAGAAAAATCACATTTCTCAATTTTAAAACATTTAAGGTTAAAAAAAAGAGGTCAAGGATATAAAAGGAACATATTTAACTTTTCATTTAAAAAAAAAAAAAAAAAAAAGATGTCAAGGATATAAGGAACATATTTAACTTTTCATTTTAAAATTCCATGGGTGCAAGCAACCCTTTTTTCCGTTCACAATTGTATTTTAAAAATAAAATTTATAATTTGTTAATTTTTCATGTGGCTTTTAGTTCACTAATATTTTTAAAACACTGTACGCAATTCGTTACCTTTCCATAGCTTATTTCGCTTAGAATTTGATAATCATTTCTTTTCTGTTTTCCATTTATTCATTTATAACACTTGTTTATTATCTAAAATGCATCAAATTTATTTATATTACAATATTAATAATTGCACATCAATATAACTCAATTTAAGAGAGGATATCGTGTTAAAAGTTTCACATTTTAATAAAAAAAATCACGATCATTAAATAGTAAATATTGTAACATCAAGTTTTCCTTTTAAAATATATTGATATTAATCTCTAATTGCAGAGTAATAAATTATTTATGGCTTTTATATATTTAGTTACTTTTCAAACAATGAAAGAGTATATAAAAAGAAAAATATTAATTAAGTCTCTTATATATATATATATATATATATATATATATATATATATATATATATATATATATATATATATATATATATGTGTGTGTGTGTGTGTGTGTGTGTGTGTATATATATAGAGGTATGTTCAATTGAGAAAATAAAAAAAGTTGAGAATGGGGGAATCATTCCCAGCCACTCATATAATCTAAACGTAAAAAGATACGGTGACAAACTTGTAAATATGTTAATAACTTTCAATCTCAAATACGTAACTATAGAGAATTCGATAACAGTTCGTTCATTATCAAAATTCTTCCTCCAACCTTCAATATCATCCAAATTTCTTCAACCAAATCGGAATTTTTTCGTTGTTTATGAAATTGGAATCGGAGTTCTAGACTCGCAGTCACAGTCGACATTGAATGACTCAGAATCGGTACTCACAGGTTCCCAATCGGATTTTTGGAAATCAAAATCAAAATGAGAAATCGATCAGACATAGGATGTCGAATCTGAAGTCGAAATTGGAAGTATATGATGATTTGGAATTGATAACTTGATGTTTTTAACATTTTTAAAATAGTTAACTTGTATGCACTCCAACTGTTTGATGAAATCCATAAACTAAATTACCACGTTATATTCACATATG